TAAACTAAACTAAACTAAACTAAACTAACTGTCTGTTTGGCTTGCCTGCTGAAATGAAGCTAATTGCTTGTGTTTGCCTGTAACTCTCCTGCCTTGTGTTTACTTGGAAGAATCACCTGTTGGTATTGTACATTTATTCATTTATTCTTATGTATATAAAGAAGTTAATGAATCCAGCTGAATCAGTTATCCGTGTGTGCTTTCTGGATTTGAATTCATGCAACAAACTCTGACATTTTCAGATTCGGGTTTTCCCAGGTGTGCCAATATGTCACCTCTAATAAAATGGAACTTTGAGGAACTCTAGGCCTTGAAGTCTTCTTTTGTTGGGGGTGTTACCTGAAACCCTGACATCATATAACAACCAAGTGAAGTTACAACGGCACTCAAAAATGAGGACTTACAGCTGGTCCTTGCAAACACAATGGTTGCAGCCATCCCTACAAGCAAGTGATCGAAATTGGAGATTTGGTAACTCCCGTGTATTTTCAACAATCACAGTGTCCTGAGGTCATATAATTGTGATTTTGCAACCTTCCTAGCCCGATGACAACAAGCAGAAAGGAATCTGAATTCTCTCAAGGGTTGAATTGTTCCCTGAACAGCTTCAGTGATTCGCGTATCAACGCTGCTGAAAAAAATGTCCTAAAATCGGGCCTGACATGCTGAACAGCCTCCTTGCTTAGCGATGGAAATTCTGATCGCCATTGTTTTTGGTCACCAACTTTGCAAAAAAAGATATTGAAGAAGATCAGAGAAGAGCAACTAAGGTGATCAAAGACCTGGAGACTCAACCATACCAAGAACGGTTGCAGGATTTGGGTCTGGCTAGTCTAGAGAAAAAAAGGACAGGGGGAGACATGATAGCAGTATTCCAATATTGGAGAGGTTGCTCCAAAGCACCCAAAGGCCAGACAAGGAACAATGGAGGATAACTCATCAAGGAGTGGAGCGACCTGGCAATACGGAGAGACTTCCTAACAGTGAGAACAATTAACCAGTGAAACGACCTGCCTCCAGAAGTTGTGGGTGCTTCATCATTGGAGGTGTTTAAGAAGAGACTGGAATGGTGTAGGGTCTCCTGCTTCAGCAGGGAGCTGGACTAGAAGACCTCCAATCTCCCTTCTATTGAACCAATAGAATGGCTTGCCCTCAGAAGTTGTGGGTGCTCCATCTCCGGAGCTTTTAAGAAGAAACTGGGCAGCCATTTGTCTGAAATGGTATATGGTTTTCTGCCTGAGCAGGAGGTTGCAATTGAAGACCTCCAAGGCCCCTTCCACCTCTGTTATTCTATTCTATTCTATTCTATTCTATTCTACTCTACTCTACTCTACTCTACTCTACTCTACTCTTCTNAGAAGAAGAAGAAGAAGAAGAAGAAGAAGAAGAAGAAGAAGAAGAAGAAAAAGAAAAAGAAAAAGAAAAAGAAGAAGAAGCTGTTTCACTTCTCATCAGTTCAGAATTAAAGGCCTCCTTCATTCTTGACAACCCTTTTCTCCTGCAGACCTGCTCAGAAGTCAGCTAAGTGGCTTTCTGGCGTGTGAGTGAAGGGAAAGCACTGTGCACCTAGTCAAAACCCTCAGAAGTGCTTGGTAACACAGTTCACAGGATGGGATAATGGCCAGGGCAAAAGGTCCTTCGAGAGCTTCAAAGTAATCTTAGTTGCACTGGCAAAGAGGAGGGAAAACTATCTGGAGCTCCTTAGCAATTGACCTACAAAAGAGTGGATGGAAGAGAGTTTCCATAAAGGGTTGGCCTTTGTCATCATATCGGAGATCAGGATTTTTTATTTCTGAGCCCGAGAGCGCTTGAAGGTGCCAGAGAGGTGTGCTGAAAGCATCCGAGGTTTGGGAAGAGGGGAGTTGGGTGCATTTCGACGGTTGATGTGCAAGGTTTGAAAATAGACATGTCCCTTTGATCTACTTTCTACAAGTTATTCTGCTCAGAATGTACCTTTCCCAACTGCCTCAAAAAGCAGCACAATGATGGTTAGAAGCATGGTCGCAACTTCAATGCTTTCAGCCAAACTAGCACAAAATAC